GGAGCCTATTCTCCTATTGTTCCGACAAACGGACAGACAACTTCTGCTTTATATATAGAGTATGATTGTTGCTTGCAGCGTCCTAAATCGGACAGGACCATAGCTTGATGACCCTTTGGCGAGCTCACGAATTGCTCTGCCTTTCCTCAATATTTTTAGAAAACAATAAGTCGGTGGAGAGGTATTTCCTCATGGCAGTTACAGGGAGAAGGGAAAGGTGTAAGAGAGAGAAGAAAGGAGGAAAAATAAGAAAGGAGAAAGGAAAAGGAGAGAGAAGGGAGGTTCCGCGGTTGACAAGTGTCCTGTGACGAAATTCAGCAGTGACGAAGTCGTGTTGCTGCGAAAGCTCGTCGTAGATTGCTTATCGTAGTTCTAATTTCATGTACAGAGTGGAGTTTACGGAAGCCATTCCCAGTCTTTTTTCCGGTTTTCGTTTTTATTTCGAATATTCAAATCGCATTCAGTACAATGAGATCCGGATAAACTATCTGTGAGCCACGGTTGCACATAGTCCGCAGGGTTTCGATGTGTTGCTGGAGGGGTAATATTTGTGGTGCACCAGTAGTTTCCTTCTGTTTCTTTTCTCCACTGAGGATTCACCTATCGGCGCTGGTTCATGTTTGAACACCCATTACCCGTAATACTTGATTGCGGGAAATGACTCTAAATATCTCCCTGTGGGAAAATGGACCCCCGTAGTGGGAGTGGAGACCTTTGCCAAACTTGAAGGGAGAAGAATTCGGGGGTCAGTGAATCACTGTTAAGGCGGCACTGCTTGGACCCACTTTTGCACAAGAATTGTTTAGATGCCTCCTTCCAAGAAAAGGTTTTCGCGCGTGAGTTTCTTTCAGAGAGTGGTAGTCAAAATCACACCTTCTCCATTGCCGCTGTCTTCAAAGCGATCTCCTTCAAATCGGTGGTATCAAATCCTGCTGCCTGAAAACGATCACAACGTTCACAAGTTCACTAGGAAGGAAACGAGAATTGACTCACTTTTCCAAAGGCTGCCGCTTCGTCTTCATTGCCAAAAAGAACATCCACATATGGCATGACTGCCTTGAGTGGCTCAAAGAAGAATTGAGAAATGAAGGGAGCAGCCAGATTTGAACATGAAGATCTAAATATGAACGAAAAATGGGTGAGAAGAAAAAAAAAGGATTTGATGACACCTTGTGCACGAACTTGAGGCACCTTGTAACACCATATAAAACATTCATTAATACCTTGTCATGCTTGAAGGAATGCTCAGCCACGTGCATGATAGATGGAGGAGAGACGGTGAGGAAGAAACCCTGGAGATACACTTATCTGAGGCTAATGCTACGAGCACAACAACAAAAAGTCCAAAATATTTGCATGAAACTTACAGCAATGTAGAAGTACTTTGCATTCTCGATAATTTTTGCATTTTCTGGTTTCAGCATGTGCTCGATAGTGAAGGTGTTCGCAGCAGCCAAATGAGCACACAACGACCTTAAAATATCCAGTGAAGTTTAAAATTTTCGTACACAAAGAAAGGTAGTGCCATCCCACCCTCACCTATGCTGATTATGGATGAGTGCCGCACATGTACCGGTCTTCACAGACTCATTGATCTAAACAATGATTCATGAAAAGCTAAAGCAAGGAATAAGTAGAAAATAGGAAAAAAAAACATTATTCCGCTAATTACGGACCTGGTATTGAGCACTGACGCCGGCTTCTTTAGCTTTGGATCTCAACATATCACCATATTTGTCGTTGCCGATTGCACCGAAGAATGCAGCACGGTTCGGTTTGTTGAGGATCCACTGAAGTTAAAGAAGTGATAATTTAGAAGACTCGCGCGTTTCGTCAGTAATCAACAAATTATTTTCTTAATGTGGCTGAGTGGGACCGACAAGTTTTTACGACGGAGAGGAATTAATTTTTAGCAGTTACTTTATGTTAAAGTTAGCGTTGAAACGTGTAGCGGAAGGAGAGCTACATGGAGGCTTCCAATGTGAAAGGAAATCCCATCCTTCAAATTCCTACAACAAAAAACAGGCTCAATAAGGTGTCGTGGTGATAAGAAGTGATCTAGCTGCCCAACATTCACATCTCCAGAATGGAGTATCAGAACAAGGTTCGTTCTTTAAAGTGTTTTCACAGTAATAATGAGTAGTTGGTCTCAAACACGATTGACAAGGTAGTAAGGCACTGTTCACAAACTGCAACACTGACGAATTGGAGGTTCGGCGAAAAGCAATGAATACGTATCGATCGAAGAATCGTCAACCGTTCAGGCGAAACGCCGGAGCGATTCGGCATTTCGGCGAAAGGTTATAGTGTAGTTCCCTGCGGACGGTTGGGCGTGTCAGGCGGGATGAGTTTGGCGCGGTGCCAAAACCCATTCTCCACCAGTTAAAGCGAGCAAATAGACTGATAGACTTATCACATAGTTCGTATTTTTCGTTTTCTACCACTTTTGTCGCATGCGCGCTTCAACAAGAAGGCAGAGAACGGCTTTGACGAGGTGACACACTCATACTGCCTGACACGCCCAGCCGTCCGCAGCGAACTAGAGTGTAGATGCGTGTCGATTTCGCTGACTCCGTCCGAGAGAAAAATGGTAGGCGGACGGCGCTAGCGTTTTCGCGCAGGCGAATGCCGAACCGTCTGTCTGCATGTATCAAAATCTTTCGAGGAAGCGTTTCCTTTGTCGATTCCGCAGGTTCGCAGACTGCGAACAGACTAACTTGACAGCAGAGAAAAAACAAAAGAAAAGATGTCTTGAGGGATGTATACTCCGCCGATACGAACCTGTACGGGCACAAGGAGAGGTGTACTGGGTGAGTTCTCTTTTATAGGCACCATAACGATATCATCTCTTTTCCCTTATCACCTCAATCTCACCACTTAAAACGGAGGGACCTAGTAGCAGTATCATCAGGCCGCCGAAGGAAATGAGTGCTCGGCGAGCAAAAGGCGTTGGCTGGCGCGCCGTCTTTGCCACGTCACTTAGCGTCCTTGGAACGCACTTTCAAGCAGGAAGTAGGACGTGCTTTACGCTTGCTTGCTCTACCCGCTTCAATAAACGAGAATATCAACTGGACGAGAGACAAGCCTTTAAGTGATGAAGTAATTGGTGTATTAACTGTGAATAATTCGTCCACAGTCCAACAAAGCCCGGAAAGCCGGCAAAGGGGCCCCTCCTAAGATTTTATAGCACTTAGATAATGTTTCTAATGAGAAACAAAAGTGCCGTCTCAACCAACCGAGCGAGCGCAGCCTTATGCAAACTGTTGCTCCTGTGCATTCCTTGTACAAAACTTTGACGGTGAACACTGCCGAATGAATCCATCCTTACCTGGCAAACACGCACGGCATTTTGAGTCGCACCTCCAGGAATGTATTCGACTTCAAACTTTTCGACAAGTTCATCAAACCTGAAACTCGAAGCTTTAGATAAAGACCGCAGGAGTTTTAATGCGTTTAATTCAATGAGAAAGAACAGATACAACTGGCCAAAGTGTTTGGAAAGTACTTACATGGCATTATGCTTGTCGTCACAGAGGATGGCATCG